GTCGGCTAGACGCGCAACCAAAATTTCTCTGAAACCGTGGTTTGAAGGAGGAAAACTTTAGCATAAAGTTTTAACATTTGATGTTAATTTTTCGGGCGTGTGAGATTTTCCCAAACGGCCGCAGTTTTGTTGAAAGTTGTTTAAACCCACTCAATCCCCACGATATTCAAGGCCCGCGATATTCGTATTTTATTGGCTGCTATGGCTGAGCACATGAATGCGGAGGATGCTTTTGTGGGGAATTTAGCCCGTCCAAGTTTTTTCTCATTCAATGCATTTCTGGATACATGATTTATACATTCCTTGTGACAGATGGCATGGGTATCGGTCGACCCGTAAGGTATGCCTTTGTCGAAAGTGAGCATATTGCGCCATTGCGCAAGCTGTTCAGCTTGTTCAAGGATATGATGGGTGGACAATATGCAGTCAAAACGTTCGTCATGGTCAAAATGACTTCGCAGATGCGAGCTGCCAATGCTGTATTTGGCTGCGATATAATGCTGTGCTATTTTCACGCACGGCAAGCCATCCGGAAGCACGTACGTTTCATTGCTCTGGTGTAAAGTTTGTAGACAATTCCCAACCGCAGTCGGCACATATTCCACCGCATGGCTCGCTTTGATAATGCAGCTGAGTAAATGACTGCGCACCAAACACTATTCGCGTAGATTTCGGCACGACTTGCAAATCTTGAGGAGAACAGATCCCAGTTTTGTCTCTTATTTGACTGTCCACTGGCTCCACATCCCTCGAAAACGGGCCATTTATGCACAACGTGGGTTGGTACATTTTGGGAATGTGGCCTGTAGAACGCCAACGGGCATTTGAAGAGGCGCGTGCATCACTCAGGTAGCGTGGAGCATGGTGTCCAAATGACTTCGCAGATGCGAGCTGCCAATGCTGTATTTGGCTGCGATATAATGCTGTGCTATTTTCACGCACGGCAAGCCATCCGGAAGCACGTACGTTTCATTGCTCTGGTGTAAAGTTTGTAGACAATTCCCAACCGCAGTCGGCACATATTCCACCGCATGGCTCGCTTTGATAATGCAGCTGAGTAAATGACTGCGCACCAAACACTATTCGCGTAGATTTCGGCACGACTTGCAAATCTTGAGGAGAACAGATCCCAGTTTTGTCTCTTATTTGACTGTCCACTGGCTCCACATCCCTCGAAAACGGGCCATTTATGCACAACGTGGGTTGGTACATTTTGGGAATGTGGCCTGTAGAACGCCAACGGGCATTTGAAGAGGCGCGTGCATCACTCAGGTAGCGTGGAGCATGGTGTCCAGAAGGTCGCTCATGACAGCGAATGGCTAATGCGCGAATATGAAATGCACACCACTTATTACTGTTACCGCCGAGAAATTCGGGAGGGAGACATCCACGTTCTACGTGTGGTTTTCCGGATGGCGACATATGCCGCTAATCAGGTTCTCAGGCACATTGGGATATGCACGCTAAATCTGATATACAAGCAGACAGACAGACGTGATCGACTTCAATTTCACTGTTATTGCTGCGGCAATGAGCCCTGCCCGCTGTGTGGAGAAAATCTTCAGGCGCGTCCGCCAGATGAGTGCATATGTATCAATTAAACTATTCCCATTAGTTGCCGGTCAGTCTACCTACCGGTCAGCTAAAAGAGCTTGCTTTGATGTTGATCTTGATCGGTCCATGGAGGACAAGCCGAGTCTGCCCCATAAGACAGTCTCAAAAGAACTGTATTTTCCAATTTCGGAGTTGATGGAGACCAGTAATTTGAGGCCTAATTTCTTAGCATACGCCTTGTAGACCTTGCTTTCGAATCCCGTGATGACGAGGAATTCGTGTGATTGTAACTCGAAGGCCTCAAATGCCGAATCAATGAACCCATGGCAATCCGCAACGACTATACATTTATCCCTCATCCTGGTAATGGGAATTATGAACCACCAGGTAAGCAAACAAATGAAATTCAATAACATCCAGATGCCTAAATGCTGTTCCCGAAGGTTAATTGCTTGGCCATTTTCCGTTTCAGAATCCTTGTCTTGTGAAGTGGATCTCAACAAAATGAAAAATGGAGCGACTACCAATTAAGCTTGCATCAGTGATGCCAATGAATTTTTTTTATTTTTCAAGAACACCGAAGAACGCCGATGTGTGCTAAAGTGCGATTTCGTGTTTTATGTCGCGTAAACCAGCAAAAAATACAATTTGGCGATGGTCACTGAGCTTGACATTTCGCTC